CGATGAGAAAGCTTCCAGAAGCTCTCTCTCAAATAGCAGGCATACGCTACGCGCTGTATGCGGATGACATTACCATATGGACTCCGGCAGGCAGCCTGGGCGAACAAGAGAATGCACTGCAGAGCGCTATAGACACGGTACAAAACTATGTACAGCCTAGAGGCCTGCAATGCTCTGCCGAAAAATCTGAGCTCATCCTCATCAAAGAACGCAGAGGCCAAAAGAGACCTGATCCCCCCCTATACCTACACCTGCGAGGCCAAACGATTCCACAGGTCAAGTCGCTACGGATCCTAGGAATGCACCTGCAGGAGGGAGGGGGAGCAGGAGACAACGTCTCAAAAGTGCTTCGCTCCCTCGCGCAGGTGGAAAGGATGGCCACCCGCATAATTAACAAGCGAAGAGGCCTTAAAGAGATCGACGGGGTGCGACTTGTGAATGCGCTCGTCATTAGCCGCATAGTTTATGCCTTACCGTACCATAAACTCAACCAGGAGCAAACAAAGAAGATTGACACTGCAATTAGGAAAGCATTTAAACACGTCCTCGGCCTGCCAGTAAGCACGTCAAATGCGAAACTCGCAAGCCTAGGCCTACACAACACGTACGCCGAGCTTGCAGAGGCCCAGCTGCTCAACCAGCTAGAACGACTCACAAAGAGCCCGACCGGCAGAAATCTCCTCGCAAAACTAGGATATGACTGTTTCCTCCGTGGCAGCGAAGACATCGAGATTCTAAATGATCAAATCAGAAGTAAAATTACAGTTCGTCCAATCCCCAGACACATGCAACCGGGGAGACATGACGGCAGAAGACAGGCCAGAATTCGATTCTTAGAGCAACAAATACAAAGCTGGGACAATACTCTCTACACGGATGCCTCTCGACGCTCGAGCACAAATATTTACTCCTTGAGTGTAAAGGTGTATTCACACGGCGGACAAATTTCGGGAACGGTGTCCGCGGACCTGTTAAATATGCGTATCACGTGGCTTCGACGTCACAACGGACAAGTCCGCGGACTTGGGCAAGTCCGAGGACATACGAATTAATACTGCATGGTTGGCGTGAACCAAGGCGAGAACTGCGAGTCCGAGCTCGTACCTTTCTCGCTGCCTTCGCTGCACGAGATATCTGTTCAGGATTGGTATTTCCCAACGCTCTCACCTCGCGCCGAGAGCCTTGGTGGTGCTTCGCTGCGGTCCAAGTTACAAGAAAACGGCCACGCAACGCACGTGACGGTCGATTCCAATCCCGCCAGCGTCTGATGAACCTGGCATTGAAGACGACAACGATGAAGGATCTCAGCGATGAAGCGACGCTTTGTTTAATCGCACTCGTAGAAGAGTTTGGCGCCTTCAAAACGACCAGTACCACAACAACGGTATAAAATCGGAGCTCTGGAAACAAATTGCCAATGAAATGGAACGGCGCTACTCCCAGTATGGGCCTTACACGGAGAGTGGGTTCATTGAAGGCGGACTAATTAATGTCGATTCCGTGTTGTGTTTGACCGCTTATTGTTGTCTAATACTTTAGAGGGAGTGAGGGGCTTTTTTAAAAAAATAAGCGACGCATCTTCAGACGGGAGAAGGAAAAGATTACGAAGACGAAGAGTGGCCAAGCTGCGGAGTACACGTACAACGGTAGATGGAGGTTCTACCGCAGTCTCCTGTTCTTGGATCGGAGCAAACCTGTCCTTTCCCGGGAGCGCAACGAATGTTACCATCACAAGGATCCCAGTGGAGTGAGTAACGTTTGGCGGGTTGACCCATTCGTTTAACTTGATTTTTTATACCTATCGAACGAAACGTTGGCGAGCGTTCGTTGATGGAGGTCACTGAATCCTGTTAGCTTGGCTGACGTTCGAGTTCTGGCTTTGCTCTACACGCTTCAGCAATTTGTTTTGTTCGGGCTTCAGCATTTTGTTTCGTTCACTCGTGTTAATCCCGGTTTCTTGAAGCGCTGGTAGTCTCTGGATGAAACTGCGAGACACTCTCTTAGGATTTGACAACCGGCGGCCCGCGGGCCGGGTCCTGGCCGCAACGCAGTTTTATTCAAATGTATTGAGTAAACTTTTTTTTATTAAATTTTGCAAGTGAAATTGCCAACCGCCGGTGAGTCTTCGATGGGTCCGACCTGCTGCGTCTTCATAAAAAACAACTCTCGCTTCTCCCACAATACTACGGTTGTGACATCTACTCTTGGCCACGTAACCCATCGCCGTCCTCCCTTCACTACTAAAACTATCTCTCTTTCTCTCTCCCTATCTCTCTTTCTTTTTATCTCTCCCTCATTGCTCTGAACAGTAAATGGCAGACACTTGCGATATTCTGCCGTGCAAGCGTGGGCTTTACATACAGTTCCTCTACAGTAATGCATTCGTATTTCTTTTACCTTTCCAGATGGACAGTGAGACAGAATTGGCGTCTGTTATGACCGAGATGAAGGAACCTATCCTTGGCACGCCTTCAACACACACACACCGCGCGGAACAACGAGTCCCAGTGTGGAAGCGTCTGGCACTCCTGTGTAGCGCTCAAAGTGCGATGACGAAAAAAAAAAAAAAGAAACAGATGACTGCTCCAGCTCTGGGTGGAAAGAGCGCACGGTTGCTTTCACTAAAATTGCGGAAAGTTTTGCAACTGAAAAAAGTGGCGACGACGCTGATAATTTCGGAAGAGTAGTGGCGGGCCACATGAGAAACCTAAACGGAACCAATTTTATTGGGTGTCAGATAGAGGTATTGGAACTAGTCAAGCGTTACCTAGACCGACAGCAAGAATAAATGTAATTCAACGAACCCAATTTAAACTAAAAAATGTTAATCCAAAATTAGCATTTCGCACTCATAAGTAAAGGGAATACTTGAAAACAAACAAATGCTTGTATCCTTTGCCTTTTGTACTTATTCCATTCGGACCTGATGGCTGTTTTTGTTTGACTGGGGCGCGTCTGTTAGATTGCGAACCAATATTATAGCATGACGAAATAAAATATAAGAAAACATTAAAGATGCTTTCAAGTTTATTTACATAAAATTGAACGATTAGAGCATAACACAAAAAGTTTTTGGTGGTCAAAGTGCCAGCACATGCATGAACGGTTGTTAAGTAAAAGAAGTAGCAATATACAGCTCATGAAATGGTATATTTGCTTCTGCACTTGTATAAACATGCAGATAAGGTTACATTTTGTTATTTATCCGCAGATTAAGGCCCGCCTGTTCCCTCTGCCACGCGACGGCGCCGTCGTCATTAAAGTATCTCAGTAGACGCTCATGCACATCTAGAGCTCTTGCCCCGGAGCGCCCTTTGCAACTTCGTAGCCCGAAGTAGATTGCCCTTTTTCGCTGGTGGTCCTCCCTCGACGCGTTAAAAAGCACAGGTGCAGCTCGAAAATAGTTGTGCAGCACACACGCCGCCTTGATGAATGAGGTGACCCTTCCTGGTTCGGCATCGATAGTCGTGTGCAAAAACCTAAAACGGTTTGCCAGAATGCCAAACGCATTTTCTGCTACCCGTCTGGCTCGGCTTAATCTGAAATTTAAAAAAAAAAAGAAAAAAAACGATAAGAAATACGGTGTTTAGAAATCACATGATGTAGGCAACACACCTGTAGTTAAATATAACCTTTTCTTCATCCAAATTTGTACCAGTGTACGGCTTCATTAAGTTTATAGATAAGGGGAAGGCGTCGTCTCCCACGATGACGGGTGGGACGCCGACCGGTCCAGGTCCTGAGGTCGGCAGCCCGGCTGTTCCGTTCTCGATGGCATTCCGCAGTGGTGTCGTCCTCCAAATGCCTCCATCTCCATCAGACCCAGGTCCGCCAACATCAATGTACAAAAACCTGCTGTATGCGTCCACAAGAGCAAAAAGCACGATACTGAAGGTCTTCTTGTAATTAAAATAAACAGATCCAGAGTTCGTAGGTTTGATAATTGTGACATGTTTTCTGTCCAGCGCTCCAATACATTGCGGAAACTGCCATCTTTCGTAAAAGTTCTTCATTACTGCAAGCCACTCATCTTTCGTCCGCGGGGACATCAGATATTTTGGTCCCAGCATTTTGTAAATGGCGTAACAAGTTTCAACGAGGAACCCGTTGACGGCGCTGTGGCTAATGCGGAATGTTGACTTTCGCCTGAAAATTCGCAAGAAAACAAGAAACACGGCTAAGTCGAGCGT